GTTGTGGTACCGTTGTCGGGGAATGGGTTTGGAGCTTGGAAGCGTAGTATGATTGTTTCATTATCTACCAGAAATAAGATCAGATTTATTGATGGGACCTGTGTTAAGCCTCCAGAAAATTCTCCTCAGTTTAGGCAATGGGATTATTGTAATAATATAGTCATATCATGGCTGACCATCTCACTCTCACCAGATATAGCTGAGAGTGTGCAATATTCAGATACTGCTGAAAGCATATGGAGATAGCTCAATAATAGATATGGGGTAGTAAATGGGACCAAAGTATTTGAACTAAAAAGAGAACTTGCATCCACTTACCAGGGATCTCTCGACATTGCTTCATATTTTAACAAACTTAAGAAAATATGGGATGAGTTGGGTGTTATGTGTAGTAGTCATGCAAACTCTTGTAGTTGTGCTGCTAAAGAAGGTTTGCAAAAGGAGAAAGAAAAGGACAAAGTCCATCAGTTCCTCAAGGGTTTGAATGAGGTCTATGTAGGTGTTAAAAGCAATTTGTTGATGATGCATCATTTACCCTCTCTTGATTGTTTTGATAACATCGTTTTGCAAGATGAAAAAAAGGCAAATCAGTACATATCCTCAGTTTCACCCTGAATCTGCTTCTTTCAATGTCAATTCTAATAATTTCAAATTGACTCAACCTCAGCCACAGCAGAGGTAGTGTAATCAAAGGTTGGTTTTTGATCAACTTAGGTCTAGTCTCATCTGTAAATACTATAAGAAGTCAGGGCACTTGATTGATAAGTGCTACAAACTCAATGGATTTTCTCCCAGCTTCAAGTTCACTAAGGGCAGAAAGACAACTACAAATGTGGTTGTAGACTTTGACTTCTCTTCTTCTCAGAATATTTCTACCTTGTTTTCCAAGAGACAGAGGAATTGTGAAACTCCCAAGATCTTTTAACTTAGGAGGAAGTTTACTCTAAACTCTAGCAGTGCACTCTTCAGTAAGTACAACTGTTTCAAACTCTGTATATCTTCGCTTGTTTTTCACAATATCTCTGAGATACCTTGCATACTTAGGCACTTCCTGTAAAATATCCACCAAAGGCAAATTCACATGTACTTGGCTCAAAATATCTAAAGAATTTCTTGTACTTCGCATCATCTTTTTGCTTCTGCAGTCTTTGTGGAAACTGATGTAGTGGCCTTGTCAAAATTACTGGTTCTGATCCTTTGCTCTCTTTCTCATTCTCCTCAACTGGATTGGGAACTAATTCTCCTTCAGGACTAGCCATATATTTCTTTTTCTTTGGAACTTCTTCTAATACTCTTCCATCTCTCAAGGTAACTGCATTGACTTGAGCTTTAGAATTAGGCTAAATATCACTAGGAAGAGCCCCAGCTGGCCAATTATTTTGAGCACTGTCAAGTTGTCCCATTTGTCGCTCCAAATTACGAATAGCTACTAAGTGGGCTGCTGCTTGGGTCTGCTGGTCAGCCCTCAATTTCTTTAGCATCTCCTCAATATGACTCGTTGAGTTCGTGGGTTATTCAACCTGTGGTGGTCTATATTGATGTTGAGGAGCTAGTGGCCTATATTGATTATGAGCACCTTGATTTCCACCCCAAGAAAAGTTTAGGTGGTTCCTCCAGTTAGGATTGTAAGTGTTCCCATATAGATTTGTCTGGCCCTTATTTGCATTACCCACAAAATAGACAGACTCTAGATTAACTAAGCATAAGTCGCTCGTCTGACCCTCTCCACATACTTCACAAATTATTTGAACATGTTGCACTTGCTGAGCTTGTTGCTTGTTAATAACCAAGGTCATCTTATTGACTTGGTTAGCCAATATGGAAACCTGCGCTGATAATGCAGAGACGACATCTAACTCGAGAACCCCTGCAGATTTTTGCACTATGTGTCTGACCATCTCTCCTTGCCAATCAAGATTGCTTTTGAAAAATTTGTTCAATAATGCATATATCTCATTGAAGCTTTTCTCCAACACTTGACCTCCCGCTGCAGTATCCACCACAATCTTTGTCTCAGGATGTAGCCCTTCAATGAAAGTGTGGGCTAACACTTTATTTGTCTGATTGTGATGAGGACAGTCTCTAAGAAGCCCCTTTAACCTTTCCCAAGCTGAGTATAAAGACTCCCCCGATTTCTATTTGAAGGCGACTATCTTACTTCTGATCTTTGCAGTTTTGCCTGAAGGAAAGAACCTTTCCAAAAATTTCCTCGCCAGATCATTCCATAATGTTATAGAATTAGCTGGTTCCGCCTTCAACCACCGCTTTGCTTCGCCTGACAGAGAAAACGGGAATAGTGTGAGCCTCACATAGTCTGGAGTGACTCCTTAGTGATATAAGTCTCACTAATCTCCTGGAAGTTCAGGATGTGCTGTTGTGGATCCTCATGTGGAAGACCCATAAACTGCCCATTCACATGTAGTTGCTGGATCATGCTCTGTTTTACCTCAAACTGCCTAGTGATTCTGGGCTTCACAATGCTGGAGGTGACATTAGCATTGATTGGGCATCGCCACCTCCTGGACAGCCATATGTTGCTCCTCTTCCATGTCCACATGAATTTGAACAAGTTCCTGAAGATTATATGTGTCCCTTGCTTCCCTAAACCTCCTGTGAAATGTTCTCTCAGGTTCGGGGTCAAAGCCTTGAAGTCTATCCTGGCTTCTGACCCTTCACATTCAATCAAAGTTTCTGAGAGTAGAGCAACCAATAAGAAATGTTAGACTTGACGAAATAAACAACTAAAGTAAAAACTAGAAAGTAGTCAATATTCAAGTCCCCGGAAACGGCGCCAAAAACTTGTTGCTCCCAAACGCACACGCAAGCATACGTGGTCGTACAAGTAATAGAGTGATAAGTCGAGTGTCGAACCCACAGAAGACTTGTGTTAACTACCCACTAGTTTTACCAAGATTATTATCCAATCAAGTCAATCAGAATTCAAGAGTGTGATTATACTACGTAATAATTCTAACAAGTCACTACTTTATCAAGCAGAAAAATGATTATTGTGTATTCAGTAGAGACGAATATTCTAAGGTTGTGATCGATTAACCAATATTATTATGTTCTAATTAACTCTCCCCATCATACAATTCACTCATGGTTTGCAAACAATTTCTCTCGTATCATTCTCATGAATTCCTACTCTCATATTCAAAATATATTAATGCCTATATTCCTATGGAATCAATCTATTTAGAACATATTAAGATTATGATATTTAATTAACCACGGTGACTAGGTATATTCCTATCCTAACCACAAAGCCGCCTCCACTCAGAGTTAAGATCATGCTCTCTTCAATCCTTCTCTAATCTAAACGTGGCTTTCCCAAGCATAGCATAGATAGTGAATAGAACCTACTGTTGGCCAGACAATTAAGCAATTAATCGCAGAATTGAATAAATAACCATATATTAGTGAATTATAATCAAGGTTAAGTCAATTTTAAACAACAATATTCATGGCTAAATCGCAACCCCAGAATTATGGGTTTTAGCCACTCGTGATAATATCAAAACAAATTCACAAGTGTTTGAATAATTGAAACTACTAAGAAAGATGAAGAAAACCTAAGAATCCTTGCTCCCGAGTATTTCGTGTATTGTTCTCGCCTCCAAATAATGTCCACCCTCCCCCCCCCCCTCCAAAATAGTTTTAGAACCCCTTTTNTTGAGGGCGTGTAGGGTTGAAATCACCAAGTCCCAGCCGAATTAGGACAAAATCCGCCCTCCATCGTCTCACTTGGCTCCTGGCGCCAACCTGGACAGTGAACTTTTTAGCCTGCTGTCAACGACGTTTTGGTTAGTGCCTGGCGCGAACCTGGACACCAAACATTTTTCACTTTAGTGCTCTGCTGCCCTTGGCGTTTTGGCTGGTGCCTAGCGCGAACCTGGACACCAAACTCGTACTTCCTCCAAATTCTTCCGTTTTCACTTTAATTCGCACGCCAATTTTCCAAATCACTTCCATTTGACTCCTACACATAAAAATACCATGAATTAGAACAAATCATTACATTACACATACAAAACTCATGAAATATAAGTAAAATGCGAGGCGATATGCATATAAATATGCATACTTTATGCCGAATATCAATGGCAAACATTCAATCTGCTTACGTTGATCATGCTTCCTTCGGGGTCTATCTGATGCCAATTGCAGATGTTGTTTCCCGGTACGGGTTGCTACTTGATTTACTTTCTATCTGTCTTTGGTTCCATGTGTCATGCTACTATTCGATCATTTAATATAAATCGATTTTACCATGTACGGTATCGATTTTATTTTTGGCTAAAATCCATGAATACATTATCTATATTTTATGGAAGACGATCCTGTGCGCTTCCACTATTCATGTTTTCTATTAAGTAATATATGCATTAATAATTTACTAAATAAGTACAACGAATTAATCAATAAATCAAATAATTGTATGATAAAATTTCAAATTCGATCCAATAAAGTTCTCGATCCATCACCTCTGCTTAGTGATAGACATACATCATCATATCACTGAAACCCGAGCATATTTGGTTATTCCCTAAGACAGCTTAAAATTAACACCTACGCTCTATTTAGTCCGTTCATGTGATGTTGCCTGGCACCGGGATTTGTTTTGTGTTTAAGATTGCTCTTCTGATGGGGAGAAAAACACAAAGAACTTCTCCATTATCTCTCAAACAAAATAGAGTGCAGCAGAAAAGAGAATTGGAATTGTAAAGAAAACTAAATTAATGTGGGAAGACCAGAGACAGAAGGCATCGCTTGAAAAGAACTTTTATGGGCTACCAGCTGTCATTAGAGTCGCTAAATTGTTGGTGGTGCTTAAAATATAAGTACAGACAAAGACTTGGTTTATTAAATAGTTGGGGTGAGCTAGAATTTATATTTTAAAAAAAAGACTCGGTTTAATAATTGGGAAGAGAAGTCAATTATAGATAAATTAATAAATTAACAATTACATCCTCATTCAAAATTAGATGTTCACATTTCATAATATTCAACCTTCTTTATATACAGCTAATGTAAGAAGATCTCCTCGCGCGCTAAGAGCTGAAGAAATTAACCATCCCCACTGCTCCATTTATATTTTTTTGCTTACATAAGAAAGACAAAACATGGCAGATACGTTGGTGAATTTTCTGGTGGAGAACCTGTTGCAGCTAGTAACTGAAAATGTGAAGCTGATTGCTGGTGCAAAAGGAGAGCTCGATAATCTGCTTGAAGATGTTCGAAGTTTAAATGCCTTCCTAAGTGATGCCGCAGTAGAGGAAAGCAACAGCAGCTTGTGGAAAGATTTTGTCAGGAAGATCCGAATTCAAGTGCATAAAGCTGAGGACGTCGTTGAAAAATTCCTGGTTCAGGCGAAGCTACATGAAGAGAAAAATGCAGCGGAGAAAGTTTTTTATATTTTCGGACATACCAAAAGAGTTAGGAATCTTGCAAAGGATATCAACGACATCCGCGAGAAGGTGAAGGAAATTCGCAGAGATAATCCAGAAGCTCTCCAGCCCAAACGAATGCTTGATCAACAAAGAACAGTTGCACGGGAGCCTCAGGTGACGCCTGAAACCCAACGATCTTGAAAACATATGTTTCTCTTTTCTTCATTATCTTCTTATTCATAATAATAATATTTCATTTTTTCTAATTTGTTTGATATATAGCCGGAGTAATACTTATGCTGCTATAGATCTTCTCATGCAGGTAAATAAGAATATTAAAATTATTTGTTTTCAAACTGAGAAATATACCAATTTGTTTGAAACGGACTAATAACAAAAATAATGTCAACTAATGTCATAATAATATTATTAATAATAATAATAATAATAATAATAATCCAATTTATTGATTAGATGAGCTGATGTAAGAAATATTTAGCAGCACAATTGACCGTATGTTGGCCGATCACGATAATAGAAGAATAAGCTCAAATTCAAAAAGAGAAGAAGATGAACAGCTAGAATTCTGTGTTTCTCTTAGTAATGTATTTGTTTTGACACGGAAATCTTATGTTATTCTCCTTTACTCAAAATCATAGACTCATTCGAATTTCATCAGTCCATAGACGCCTTTTACAGTACTCCCTAATCCCTATAAAAATACTTCCCCAAATATCTTATATATTTAGAGTAAATTTTACTTGAGACTTATTTGTTTTTATTAAGCTCCCGTTTGATCATAAATTTTGGCTACTTTTTTTCAAGAAAAAAAAAATTGGAAACATTATTAAATCATGGAATATGATCAATTTTGAAAAAAAATAAAATTCAAGTTCCAAAAAAATGATTTAGGGCGGTTTTTGTGAACAGTTTTCTTCCACTCATAAAACTTACATTTTTTTCAAATAAAATGCACGTCCAAACACAACTTCAACTTCAAAAAATTATTTTTCAACACAACTTCAAAAACTCTTTTTTGAAGTGTCAACCAAATCTATGTCCAAAGTTCAAGCACTAGCTAAGATTAAAATGTTAAGATCTAATATATTTGAATATTAAGATTAAATATTTGAATCAAAATACACATCTGAATGTTAAGACATGTATTAAGACTAAAATATCTGAATCTGAAGGTACATCTGAATCTGAAGGTACATATGAATATTAAGATGCATTAAGATCTGAATATTAAATTATCAAGACTATTTATTTTTTCAACATCTAAATGTATAGAACTTATCTTTAATAAATATATAGTACTAATTAACTTAATACTATATCAACAAGATATTTATTAAAATTATATGATGGTTGGTGGTGGTGTGAAACAGTGATTGTTATGAGTATTGACCGGGATGGCAGTTAGTGGTGGTATTGACTGACGATGGTAGTTGTGAGAAATAGTAGTTAAAGGTGGTAGTTGATAGTGATAGTTGGTGATGGCGGGTGATAATTATATGTGGTGGATGCTAGTGATAGCTTATGGTGGTGATACTGATATTAATAATGTGTGTTGGCTGATGGTGGTGATTATTGATAGTGATTGATGGTTATTGTGAAAATGATGGTTAATAGTGATGATTGTAAATAGTGGTCAGTGGTGGTGATGACTGACTGTGGTGATTATCAACAATGGTGGTTGTGAATGAGGATATATAGCGGTTTTAGATGGTGGATGTCGCTAGTTGATAATGGGGGACAAATATGGTAGCAGTGGTGATAGTTGATAATGCCAAATGGTGATAGTTGATAATGCCAGGTGGCGACATTTTTCAGTGAAAGTGAATGGATCTCATATAAATGATATTACAACTTTATTATAGGTTTTAATTATTCATATCTATTTAGACTCATTAAGTGATTGTAAAAGTAAAAAATAAATGCACTCAATGATTATCTACATCTGAATAATTAAAATTTATACCAATTAGTACAAATAAGTGAAATCTGAATGATCAAAACACAAATTTTTATTAAGCGTAAACAAATGAACCTTTTGGATTTCAAAAACAACATCTCTTGCACCTTTCGAATGGGACAGTGAACTCTTTTGACTCAAATCAAGAAAAAAAAATGAGTTAGGTTATTACAAGATTTTCAAAAAAATAAAATATCAGAAATGTCCCACAATGAGTAAGAATTAAAACATATGTTTTCATACCGTCTTTTATCCCCTTTACTTCTTTCTTTTACTTTTGTAATTACTTATATTATTGTTTGTATTGAAATTTTACTAGAACTACTCAATTTGGCGTAACTCATTTTTGTTATATATTTTTCAAGTCATTTTTGCATGTTCAAAGGTCTAATTATTTTAACATTTCATTAGTAATTAGTTTAAAAATAAAAACTTACAATCTCAAATTCAAATATAGCTTATAGTTGATATGATATTTCAATACTACATGAAAATGTTAATTCAAATGGTTTTTTCATTTAATTAATGAGATATTATTCCTTCCCTCAAGATATTAGCGGAGTTAGATGAAATTTATTCATTTATTTATAATAACAAAAAATAGCTTCTTCAAATATTTGGCCAAACAGAACGTGTAAGTATTTAAAAGTACTTTTTTAAAAATAAAAAAAATTACGGGACGCCCTATTTGGTCACCCTATTTAACTTGTACCTAGTTTTTAAGACAAGTATAACTAGTACCTAATTTTTCGATAACTTCAGATACATAAACTTTTCACTTCTTCCTCACTGCTACTTTTTCCTTGTTTGTATTCATGTCACATGTATCAAAGAGCTTTGATGCTGCTTTCTTCTTTTTTTGTATTCATGTCTCATGTATCCAGGAGTCGTTTGGTTTCTTCTTCTTTTTTTCTTCTTAGTTGCAAAACACTATTGTAGGTTGTGCTTAGAGCTTCTTCTTCTTTTTCTTCTTTTTCTTCTTCTTCTTAGTTGAAAAATGAGTTTGTTAGATTTGTTGATGTTTTGATAATTTGATGTTTGGGGTTTGTTCTTTACGATATTTGAAACTTATATTTCAAATTTAAGCTCATTGGAATAGATTTGGATGTTGAATCGTGTTTGGATTATTGAAATTCAAATAACAAGTTTATGTTTCAGAACTTAAGATTCGAATTCTAAAATTGCATTGAAGAGATTGAATTACTTAAAATTTGAATATTCTGAAATAGACAGAAGAATATAAGATTTGATTTCTGAAGTTGCATTAAAGAGAATGAACTACTTAAGATTCGAATTTCTAAAATAAGAAAATGCCCAAGTTTTTTTATGGAATTTCAAATGCCCCCTTCTTTTTTATATTTCTATTTGACATAAAAATAATTTTTAAAATAAGCAAATATTCAAAGTTTAGCCAAACAGATTAATAACATGTTTGCCCAAGTTTTTCCAAAACAAAAGTGATTTTTTTTTTCCCAAAAAAGAGTATTTTTTCAAAGTTGAAGTGTTTGACCAAGCTTTTATAAGGAAAAAGTGCTTTTGAGTAGAAACAGAAGAAGTTTAGGAAAACAAAAAAAAATAGTTTTTCCCAAAAGCATATTTTTGAAAAGTACTTTTGAGAAAAATATACTTAGAAATACTTTTTAAAATCTTGGTCAAACACTAATTGTTGTTCAGAAGTACTTTTCAAATTAATTAGCCAAACATAAAATGCTTCTTACCAAAAATAATTTTGAAAAAAGTACTTTTGAAAAAAAATACTTCTAAAATAAGCTAATTTTTGAAAGCCAAATACATATGCAATCCTTAAAATTGGCTCTAATTTCCATTTAGACACTCTAACTAGCACACGTACCTATTGAACACTTCAACTTTAACAAAATTGTGCCTATTGAGCACCACAGACAATATGTATAAATAAGTTAGGCGCGTGACAACAATTGCTTTCGATGTGGCAAATCAGACAAATAAATGATAGCCACGTGGAAGTAAAAAAAAAAAAGAAGCTCTTTCTCCACATTGGATACCCTTCCCCGCCATTCATCTATCTTCTTCGTTGCTTTCCTTTCACTCTTCTGCTTTTTCTTTTTCTTCTTTCTTCCTCTTCTTCATTTCATATTTCCCCTCTCTTCTTCTAAATCTCTGTCCAAAACTTACTGCATTACCTACTTTCTTTTGTCTAAAATTTATTTCACATCACAGAACACTTGTTACCCCTTTTCTTCACCTAATCACCTTCATTCATCACCCGGTACTTATTTCGATCTCCATCTGGTACAAAATTAAGGTCATCTGAGGCAATGGAATCTTTAAATTCTTGTTGTATTTAATTCAATAATCTGATGTCACAATATAGAGAGTATAAGGGCCACTATTGTGGAGTGTTTGGATAGCCAAGAATGGAGAATGAAGTGGGCGCCATTGATGGATGGTGTTTTTTTAATCTTCAGTATTTAAAAGAGAAATTTTATTGGTGGTGAGATGATGATAGTTATACTAAATAATATCTGTAAATACCATGACGAGGAATTACGAATTCACTGTAAGGCCTCTAAAACTATTGTGAATACTTGAAATTAATGTAAAGAATAAATATTTCATAGGATGGGAAATAACTGGTGTGGTTCCACTTGATATAGTTGACTTGGACGCTGGTGTAAAAAGCTGATTAAAAGTGTCATTTTGGGGTTGAGTAGTCTGCCGGTGTAAAAAGCTGGTTAAAGATGGTGGTGAATGGATAAAGGTGCATCGCTGAAGATGAAATGAGTGGTCTTCAATTTGTGTAAAGGTTGTTAGAGCTAAGCCATACAAGTTGAGATCAAGATGAATGTTACTTTAATTTGCTAGCTGACAGTAGTTGTCTGCAATGGCTCTGATGAGGTGATGTGTGATTTTTCCGGCGATGGTTGAGGTGGCTTGGAGATTTTCAGATAAAAAAAGCTAAGGTGGTGATATGGTTTTAAAATGTGATCTTTAGGAAAATAAAGAATGATATGTTTTTGGATCAATTCACGCGCGCAAGAGATGTGAAATGCACTCTTTTTGCCATGTCAGACTATTGTGTTCAATTGGCACAATTTTGTCACGGTTGGAGTGCTCTCATAAGTACAGGTCCTAGTTAAAGCGTCTAAATGAATATTAGAGTCAATTTTAAGGATTGTCTATGTATTTGGACATTTTTGAAACTTGCCAAACATGCTATAATTTCATTGGAATTTTATCATAAAAACTCCATTCACCTTTATACTCCTATATAAAAGGAAAATATTCAGCACATATCCCATATATGAAGAACAGTTATCCGTTCTTCGATATACATCTCCATATGCTTAACCTTTCTTTTCGTCTATGCTATTCATATTTAGTTTTAGTTACAATTGTTACTCAATATTGGGAAGCTAATGACGAACGTCCCTTCCATCGCGTTTCAGATAAATCTATTATTCCGATTATTTTTCTTTATGTTAAAAGCTCCACGCAATCAACCTTTTGTATTTTTTTTTTATTTTAAGAGCCCGTTTGGACATAAGAAATTTTTCTCTTTTTTTTCAAAAAAAATTAATTTTTTGGGAAATCATCGTTTATTCATAAAATTTTTATTTTTTACTTGAAAATGCATTTTGAAAATTTTCGAAAATTTTAAAAACTCCAAAAAATTATTTTTCAAAATTCACTCAAATCACTCACAAAACTTCAAAAACAACCCAAAATATATTCATGTCCAAACACAACTCTAAATTTCGAATACCATTTTCAATTGAAAAAACTTTTCCCCCTATTTTGGAATTTTACAATTCTTATGTCCAAACGCCCACTAAGAAAAATGTTCCACACTGATATTGCAATTTAAACCAGTAAAATCTTTTTTTAGTGAATTGGAAGGATTGTGTTTCCGGCATTGCGACTCTTTTGTTACTATGGTGAAATCCTTGTGATTTTTATGTTATAAAACAAAATTGTAGTGAGACTTTAGTGAAAAAGAAAGACATACGTAGTTATTTTGACCTTTTATAAAATTTACCCTTAATCATCACTCTTTGGAAAGATTAACTCTGGAAATTGATTTGGGAAGACAAGTAAACTGCTCAATTTGCAATTAGCCACAATGTAAACATGGTAGTTTCATCTTATAGTAGCATAACACGAAATTTAAGACTCTTTTTCGTAGCTAGTAAATAACTTGAAATGGTTGTTCGAGTTCTAATTGCAAAAATTAAAGGATTTTCAATTCTGATTGATATCCAATCTATTTGATCATCTTAATAGGATACTTTCTTGGAGGTTAAACAAGTGGTTGGCTTTGATGACAAAGCGAAATATGTGATTAGACGACTTATTGAAGGATCAGAGGATCTGGAGTTTGTCCCTATTGTAGGTATGGCCGGACTTGGCAAAACCACACTGGCAAGAAAAGTATGGAGTGATTCTCAGGTTACAACTGAATTTTCCAAGAACATTTGGGTTTCTGTCGGCCAGTCAAACGAACTAAAGCAAATCTTTTTTGTGATTCTCAAATTCATGGGAGGCGTTGAAGAATTTCGCTGTGATGATGGGAAAGAATTGGCTAAAGTAATACGTGAATTTGTGACTGAAAAAGACAAATGTCTCATTGTCTTGGACAATGTGTGGGCAAGAGACCTTGTGGATTTTGTCAAAAACGTACTCCCAGAAAACAAGAAAGGTCATAGGATCATGATGACCACTCGCCTCAGAGATGTAGCTAGCTATGCCAGTGAATATCCTTATGATCTGAAATTTTTGACTTCGGATGAAAGTTTTCAGTTGCTTAAAAAGAGAGTTTTCGGCAGTGGAAGGTGTAGCGATGACTTAGTAAAACTTGGAAAAAGTATTGCAAGGAAATGTAGCGGATTACCACTTGCATTAGTGGTAATTGCTGAAGCTTTACTAAAGGTTCATCCGACCGAATATGATTGGGGAAAAATCGAGGACAATGTGTGGCAGCACCTTGTGAAAGAGAATGACCCAACCAGCTGCTGGAAAATTGTGGAAACCAATTACAAAAGTTTGTCCACAGAAATGAAGGCGTGCTTCTTGTATTGCCTGGCTTTTCCTAAAGGCTATGATATCCCTGCTCAGAAATTGATTCGCTTGTGGATCGCAGAGGGATTAATAAGGTCCAGCCCCCGGAATACCCTCGAGGAGATAGCAGAGAGTTATTTGGGGAAGCTCGAGGAGAGGGATCTAGTGACATTATCGAGAGAAATTACTGGTCCAATAAAAAAGGTCAAATGTAATGACATGTTCTATGAGTTCTACAAGATGGAAGTAAATAACGAAAGGGTTTTTCAAGAACTACGTCTAACACCCGATCAGGGTCTTCCATCCATACGAGATCCAGATATTTCTCGTCGATTGCATATTGAATTCTCTGCTCTGTCTGATTTTATCTCCACAAAACCTATTGCAGAACATGTTAGATCTTTCTTATGTTTTTCCTCGGAAGAACAATCCCAGTTTTCTGCTCCTGACAATTTTCAACTCATCCTCAAAGCATTTCCACTGATCAGGGTCTTGAAAATTGAACCCGTCAAAATTCCATCCTCCAAGTATCTTAACCAACTGTTTCATCTGAGGTATATTTCAATCTCAGGTGATTTCAAGGAACTTCCTGCATTCTTTGGTAAGTTCTGGAATTTACAGTCGATTATAATTAATACAAGTACACCCGAGCCCACTCTTAACATAAAAGCAAATATATGGAACCTTTCACAGTTGAGGCATTTCCAAACCAACAAACCTGCAAAATTGCCGCTCCCTTCTACCCAAAAGGGTGAAGGTCGTTCCAGCCTACAAACTCTTTCTATTGTTGCACCAGAAAGTTGCAACAAAGTTGTGCTTAGGAATGCTAGGAATCTCAAAAAACTGAGTATGCGAGGCCGAATAGAAGATTTTCTTCAAACTAACAAGGATGGATTCAGCACTTTTGAAGGGTTTAACTGTCTAGAGAATTTGAAACTGATAAGTGTTGATCCTTGCACTAGTGATGCTCTTCAGCTTCCAAGAGCATTATTCAGATTTCTACTCAAGCTTAAGAAGTTAACTTTGTCAAACACAATGTTTGATTGGAACGATGCGACTAAACTGGGGCAGTTGGAATGCCTTAAGGTCCTAAAGTTGAAAAAAGATGCATTCACGGGGAGATTGTGGAATCCGGTGATAGGTGATTTTCGAGAACTGCAGGTCTTGTGGATTCAAAACGATGACCTCCAACGTTGGGAGGCTACAAGAGTTCACTTCCCAAAAGTCAGGAAACTTGTTCTTAAGTGTCCTAATCTTGAGAGTGAACCAGCTGAGCTATCTGAGTTTAAGCAGACGAGTTAATTATTGGTGCTGAAAAAACGAAAGCAGTCATAGGAAGATCATCAAACTCTAGCTCATTGTATTTGTCAACTGATTCCAGGGCCACTTAGTGTAGTTAAAAGGTCAGTTCAGTTCTTTTTGCCTTGAAATTATTATCTCCATTGTAGTCTTCAGTAAGTGCTTATGTGTTTACATTCATGTCCAGCTGGTTTCACTTTCGGTAGAGATCCCAATAAGACCGCATCTAACTTTATATGATATGTCTTTCACTTAGTTAAATGTCCTGCATGATATATTTCTTCAGAGAGTAATCCATGAAATTCCATAATTAACTGTTTTTCCCCTGACATATTCTGGAACATTGTTGTTCTTCTCTCAAACAATATTGGATAAGGTGGTATTGTTTGTCATAACACAATATAGAATTCGAGCTCTTGTTCTATGAGCATTGTCATGGTGATTATTCAGTTCTTTCCGTGTTTTCTGCTTAAACATATGGTTGGGGCATGATTAAGAAAAGAAACAACATATCTCTAAATTCTAACGTATATTGATTTTTATGGTATTAGACAAGATGTAATCTTCTGCTGGAGTATAAATAAATTTCTTCCAAACCACTAACAGATTTCCTTCTAGGCAAAGAATTATCTGCAACACTTCTACTTTTTTTTACCCCTTAACTTTCCTCCTTTCTGCAGGATATAATCCGGACATTGACCGTGCTGAGAGCCTGGGATCATGGACAAATAGAATGCTCTTTCATATGTTGTCACCGCATCTCATGATCTTTTCTGCAGTCCAATCATCTTGTAAGATTGTTATAATAAAGAAACCTATTTGTCTTTTGTTTATTCAAGTTTTGTGAAGTTTGAAATAAGTTTCACCACTATCGGATTGAAACACCCTTCCTGTATCTGCTGCATTTCAAGTTCCCGATCATGTGAAGTGCTTTCTTTCCGAGTTATAAAGCTTTTACATCTTTCTTGCCTGTTGTTGCTGCATTGTTGCTTCTTTGCTTAAGCATGTAACACTAATATTTTTTATGACACGTTATTCTATCCAGATTACCTGCTATGAATCATATTTAGCATGGGTAGTCTTTGAGATGATTCAGGTGAGTTTAACTTATATACAAAGTGTAAATGAATTTTACATTATCAGACCAGCTAAAATTAGAAAATTATAGGTAACTGCCAAAAAAGTAGGTTTAGTAACTTGAAAAATAAAACAAGTTACCTGCTATGACAATCTGTTATACACTGATACTTGTAAATAAAATTTATGTTGTCAATGTATATAAGTTAAATACATTTTTAATTGGATGGATACAAGTTCTAAGTTATGTTCCATATGTTTCCTAAATATTGGCCTAAACTGTTGAAGATGGATGATCATTAGACGCTCACAACGAGTTGTAACATAGTCAACCAATGCCCGATTACCATGTCCTAAAATGGATAGGTTTCTAACTTTGATAGGGTGATTGCACTAATCTATTGGGAAGTGTGTCAGACTAATAAAACGGAAAAAATATTTAAAAGAGAAGAGTAATAAATTGCACAAGACAAGACAAGATTTACATGGTTCGGCAATTTTTTTTGTCTACTCCACGACACATCAAGAATAGCTCTTTATTAATTGAAGAGAAAGAAGAAGTTGAGGGATGATCAGCAAATGAAAATGCAGACCCCTTTTATATGCATTTGAATGCCCTGCCGACGTAAGCACTTACATCATAAGAAAATTCAACCTGCATGACGATGTAAGCACTTACGTCATAAGAAAAGAATCAACCTGCCGACGTAAGCGCTTACATCAAAAGAATTCAAGATGAATTCTTCCGCCTATCATTTTTCTTCTCTCTTTGACTTTTCTTTCTTTTGTTTTGTCTACTTTTCTTTCTTTTACATACAACAACAAGTTTGCTCCTATCAATCTCCCCCTCAAGCCTATATTATATCAAGAAAGAAATTAAAAAAAATTGCTATTCTCTGGTTGCGCCTTCACGCTATCAATCTTGAAGACTAACTGAGGCAGTGCAGAGCCTCAGTTTGTCAACACCGACAACTTTGGTCAACATGTCTGATGGGTTCTTTGATTCTGGTATCTTCCGTAGGGAAAGAGTTCCTTCACTTATCAACTCTCGGATATGATGATACCTCAAATGGATGTGCTTTGATCTTGTATGAAATACTGAATTTTTGGCAAGATGAATTGCACTCTGGCTATCGCTGAAAAGCTCACAATTGTCATGCTCTTTACCTAGCTCTTTAAGAAAATTCTTGAGCCAAATCATCTTATTTCTAGCTTCTGAGATTGCCAGTACTCTACTTCAGTAGTAGATAGAGCAACACTTTTCTGAAGTCTGGACATCCAGCTAATAGCAGTACCACCCAAAGTGAACACGTAGCCTATGGTACTTTTTCGACTATCCATATCGCTACCTAAATTTATATCAGTAAAACCTTGTAAGATAATATTGTTCTTTTTAAACAAAGTGTCATATCTGAGGTGCCTTTGAGATATCGCAATATCCATTGTACACTTTACCAATGCTCCTTTCATGGATCTGACATATATCTACTGACAACTCTAACTGCATGGGCTATGTCAGGTCTAGTGCAAACCATAGCATACATCAAATTTTCTACTATTGAAGCATATGGAACTTTGGACATGTACTTCCTTTATTCATCTATCTTAGGTGATTGGTTCTTCGATAGATTAAGATGGCTTCCGAGTGGAGTGCTTCTGGTCTTTGCATCATGAAGACTGAACCTGCTTAGTACCTTCTGCATGTGCTTTTCTTGAAACAATTTTAAGGTTCCTTCAGACCTGTTTCTGCTAATCCTCATCCCAAGCATTTGCTTAGTTTGTCCTAAGTCTTTCATTTTAAACTCCTCCGCCAGTTGTTGCTTAACCATGTCGATCTCATTTATGCTAGATCCTGCAATTAACATATCATCAATGTACAACAGTAAAATGATATAGGATTCATCAAGATTTTTGATATAACAGCAATAGTCCATCTCACATTGTGTGAAACCATTGTTATGCATGAATCCATCAAATTTCTTGTATCATTGTCAGGGAGCTTGTTCCAAACCATGCAAACTCTTCTTCAACTTACACATAAAGTTTTCTTTACCAGAATCTTGAAAACCTTCAGGCTGCTTCATGTAGATGTCTTCTTCAAGGTCACCATGCAAGAAAGCAATTTTAACATCTAGCTGCTCCAAATGCAAATTTTCTGCAATTACGATATATAGCACCAACCTGGTAGTAGTTAATTTGACTACAGGAGAGAAGATCTCGGTGTAGACAATTCCTTCCTTCTGTTGAAAGCCTTTTACTACTAACCGTGCTTTGTATCTCTTCTTATCATCATACTCTTCCTTGACTCTATACACCTACTTGTTCTGCAATGCCTTCTTTTCTTTTGGTAACTCTGTATGTATCCATGTTTTATTCTTTTGAAGAGAATTCATCTCTTATTTCATGGCTAGCTTCCACATATCAGAGTCTATCATCTGCATTGCTTCAACAAAATGCTCTGGTTCTCCAGCACCAGTCAGAAGTAAATAGTGAAGAGAGAGTTAATCTATCTGGAGCATTCGTGACTCTTTTAGATCTCCTTAATGTAGGTTCAACAGTAAATGATCCCAAATTTGATTTAGGTCCTAACTCCAGATTTGGTGCTGCGTTTGGTTCTATCTCTGGTTCCGGTTCTGGTTCTGATCTAGATTCGTCTTCTGTTTCTTCATCTTCAATTTCAAAATCAGTTGTAATCCCTCTAGCCACTTCATTTTCTGAGATTTCTTCTAACTCAACTATTTCAGATGTTTGTTTGTTGGTGTTGGTTGGTTCAACTTCAAGCTTGTCCTTGTATATCACATTTTCATTAAATGTGACATTCCTGTGTCTTATGATCTTTCTATTCTGGTCATCCCTAAATCGATAACCAAAATTATCATCACCATAGCCAATAAAGAAATATTTCTTGACTTTAGGATCAAGCTTATCTCTATCATTAGAGTTTACATGCACATAAACAATACAACCAAAAAAATTTCAGATGTGAGAGAGTTACCTCCTTTCCTGTCCATACCTCCTTAGAAATTTCAAAATTCGGTGGCACAGAGGGTCCCCTGTTAATGAGGTTAGCTGCCGTGTTAACAACCTCGGGCCAAAAATACTTCGACAATCCAGAATGTATTCTCATACT